GGGGGGGCCAGCTCAGCCGCCCGTGGGCTGTCCCGCTGCGGGCGTGCTCCAAGGCTTTGCTCCCCGTCTCCCTGCAGATCAGGGAGACGGGGAGCAGCTTTTCTCGCCCCAGAGGACGGGGGCGGCGGACCACGGCGCATCTGGGCGTCCCGCCGCTCCCGTCCTCCGGAGCGAGAAAAGCCCTGTTCGTAACTAGTCGGATCCGCGTAACTCGGGGACTGCCTGTATTCAAAAGCTAGTCTGTACTGTCAAAGTATCACAACCTGACTCTATGGTCAGGAATTTTTCTTCCATAAAAAATATACTCCAGTAAATGTAGTAAAAGCTTTGCATTCTGGCACTCTTAACTGGAAAACTCTATTAACTGGCATTGCCCCCAGCCAATTAACAAAGTTTGAATTTAGCAGAATGCCAGATGGGCTGCCGGCACCACTCCTTGGGGCTTCCTCCTCCCCCTGAAGGAAGCCAGCAAGGGCTGCTTTGAGTTAACCAGCAACTGCTGTTCCCCCTGAGTGCCAGATAACAAAGCTTTCACTGTACTTCACTCTAATGGCCACTACAGAATTAACTGGTAATAGCATGAAATCTCTAGAAAATGGTCTACAATGCTATTTTAGATAAATAATGGCATCCCACTTCTTATTAACATACTATACTTCACAGTCCCCAACCACAGAACAGCTTCAAAATGTCAGTCGGATGTCTCTGCTGCAAGATACATCTTAGCACAGAGAAACAAAAATAGGCAAACCTGAATAAGGGAATCACTTATTAAATTATTGTTGCTTGTCATCAAGTGGAAAGCTAATATTTCAATAGCTAAAATTCTCATGAATACAGTAAAAATAAACTTGAGTAAGAAGCCTCAAAAGCGCAAAACAATAGTCTGATTTGATGCCCCACTTCTAGATAGAATTCATAGGTAGCTCAGGGTGGTAGTGACAGAGATATTAGCATCCTGATGGCTGTTCAATGGATTACATTAAATTAGTTTGTTATATTACTGCCTTAGTTCTCAAGAGTCTCCGCAGGGGAAAAAAAGATTGCCTGGAAGCAGAGAATGAAATGTACTTTCACCCTAAAAGTAGCCCCTCCAGGTAATGGCCACATGCCACACGGGAGAGACTAGCTATCTTGATTATGCTTAGTAAAAGTCATGGACAGATCAAGGCAATACACAAAATTTCACAGAAGCCTATGACTTGTCCCTGACTTTCACTAAAGATATCCCTGACAAAATGGGGAGGCAGGATTATCATTCACTGCTGCTGGGACTCTGGGGCCTCCCATCTCTGCAGCGAGTGAGAGCTCCAGTGTTGTCCTGTATGGGGGCCAAGCAGCTCAGGGGGGTGCATCACCCATGGTAGCAGGGAGCCTATGGGGACTTCCCCACCAATGGCTGGTTAGCGGGAGCTCCAGGGTCCCCCACAGCTTGGCGTGGGGACTGGACTGCTATAAGGACCCCTCACCACAGCAGCTAGGAGCTCATGCGAGTCCCCCCCATCAGGCAGCTGCAGGGGGTTCCCCCACCAAGGCAAGATGGGAGCTGCAGGAGATCTGGGGCAGAAAATGTCACAGAGGTCAATGGAAGTCATGGATTCCATGATTTCCGTGACAATCATAGCTTTCATTATGCTGTATTTTCTACAAATAGCACCACACTTTGGTTTTAAATCAGTTTCTCAAATCACAATGAAGACTGTTGTAGAAGAGAATTAAAGGTCACATTCTTCACTCGTGGAGTAATGTTTAAGGTAACAGAGGTTTTAGATAAAGGATACTCGTAACAGGATAAGAATTAACAAAGATGAGAGAATACAAAAGATAATGGCAGCTATCCTCCAACAGAGCTTGAGCCAGGAACGCCCTGCTTAGCTGGAAATGTGGTAACCTTTGGTGTAGTCGAAGAGCACTGGTAAGTGCATTTGCTAGCAAGGCACGTTGATAAAAGCTAGCTGCTTCATGCAACCTGCAAATTATCAGAGGAAAGGTTACCATACAAACCATCCTCCCTTGAGGATTGCATCATAAATGAACAATACTTCAAGCTATTTATTTCTACTACCACAGGCCAAGACAAAGATTAGTATCAATTTTTAAAGGTATTTTGTATTTACATAGCATGCCGATCTGCACAGCACTTAGCATAGCAGAATATTAAAAGTATTATTTCACAGACATACAGAGAGAAAAAAAAGCAGTCCTCCTAGTCAGTTCCAAGGAAACAAAATTAAAATTTTATGGGGGGAAAAGTTTAAAAATAATTTTAATAAAATACCTAAACTTAAATTCTCAAGCTGTTCTGGTGAAGCGAGAATAAAAGTTAAAACCTCAACAAGCTAAAAATCTGAACTCACTTCTTTACAACCGATGTAATCTTTGGGAAATTGAAAGCTTGCACAAGAATAAGATAAAAGATAGTTATTTTGTAACATTCAAAAATAAGTGAAAATAGTGCAATACATACCCTAAAAGGGGCAGAACAAATAAAGCTGAACAGTAGACTGTGAACAAACGGGAAAGCCACATTGCTGTGTCCAACTTGTTAGTCATCATAAATTGCTATATTGAAAAGAAAAAAAAAACACTCACAAATTGGTGTCTAAACATGTAGTTATAGTCAAACCTGACATTCTCTCCTATTTTCAGTAATGCATAATTTATCAGGAGACCAAATTAGCCTGTAGACTAAAAAGTTTATTTTACTACTTATATTGTTACTCAGTATACAGCCACTCTTTCAATAAGATCTAATCATATGAATTCCTTTCTCCCAATTCTCTGCTTGGATAAAAGCATCCACTTTGTTGGCTATGACTGAAGTTTATACTTTCCATCTCTAAGGCCAGGTACTCAACCTTTCTATTCTGGGGCCAGTTGGGGTTGATCTAAATTACACCAGCAGGCAAAATCTCCTCTATGGAGCATCTGACTGAGCATTACCATCTGGAACATTGCCATTTCATACTTTATCCACAGGCTCTCTAGATGAGTTCAGCGTGGCAACAGATCTATATATGAGTAGTGTGAAGCCAACTTCATGCCATTCAGGGATTCCTATACATCAGAGGAATCTGCAAATGCCTCATTAGGGCAGCCTTCTGATTAGAAAAGCTTGGGGCAAAGATCCGGCTTGCAGTTTGAAGATTAGTTCCCATCTCCACACACTTGTTTTATTTTGGATACTCTGTAGATCTGGGGTGGGGAACCTAAGGCCTGGGGGCTGAATCCAGCCCTGGAGGCTCACAGCTCCCCACCAGCATTGGGGAGCCTGCACTGGGAACTCCAGCCCCATGCTCCTCTAAATCCCCCCATGGGGCTGGAGCACCAGTGCTGGCACCCCATTGTGGGGTGAGGAACCCTGAGCCTCACAGGCTGAAGCCAGATAAGAAAGCTGGATCCAAACCATAGGCTCTGCCTCATGGGGCAGTAAAGCACTGCCTGAAGGATTTTCCCCTGCAAAACCTACTAGCCTGAACCCCACTAAGCTCTGGTATGCAAGGGAAATACGGGAGAATGTCTTTCTGCTTTTCAGCTGAGGGCCATGTCAGAGAGGTGTATTGTGGTCCCCTAACTGATTTTTCTGTGGGTCAGTGGCCCTCGACCCAAAAAAAAAAAAAAATGTTCCCCACCCCTGCTGCAGATAACGCAGCTGTGAGCTAGGACCATTAACTTTGAAATAATTATTGAATATTTAGAAGTTACAAGTGTCTTTATTTTATGATCACTTCACTTATTTGCAAGTTAATTGCAATATATATGTACTACTGTATTTTAATTAAGACATTTTGAAAAAAAATTTACAAGGTGGTAAGTGATAAGTATATTTTGTTTCAAGATCCAATTACATTTTAATGAAGAGTTAATTCAGAAGTAGATATTCCCTTGCAACATCATGAACTGAAAGAGAGTCTGAGTGCACCTGAGCTAGAAAGTATAGAACTTTCTCATGTTTCCTCTCAAAACTGATTGAAGCGGACAAAGTGAAGAATTTTTTTCGCCAATATGAAGTTTTAGTAACAAATGTAGTATACATATGGGTCATGTGAGCATTTGTCTCACATATTGCTGGAATGGCAATTTTAAAAACCCACACTATGTAAAAATACATTAATACAATGAGATGGAAAAGGGACAATGTAAGAAAGAAGTCCACCCAAAGCCAAGACTAAACAACTTATCCACAGTAGGAAATAAGTAATATTCTTACTGCCTGATAGCTATCACATTTTAAAATCTTTATGGGGACAGGACAAGTTGTAGTTTTGAACGTGCTAGCATATCAAGGTGAACTCCGAGAGAATTTGAACCTTCACCAACTATCACAAATTCAAAACTATAACTGGCCCTATCTACCAAAGGATTTTCAAACATATTAGCCATCACATTTTAAGCACCAGCCTAGTGGTTTCCTAGCAAGCTCTGGCAAGCCTCAGGGATCTAGCACTTTGGAATACGATGGCTATGGAAAACTTGGAAACGACTAACGCTCGCAAGAGACAGACGCAGAACTGGCTGAGGACGGTGGTGGAGGGAGGCTGTGCAAGAGAGGAAAGTGATGAAGTTAAGGAACAGGCCCAGCAGCTCACAGCGAGGCACGCTTGAAAGCAGGGCCGGTGCCTTTGCCCGGGCCCCGTGGCACTAGAACCCGTAACACCCCAGAGCGGCGGGGAGGGGGGAGAATTCAGCCCGGCGCTGCGAGAGGTGGAAGAAGAGGGGAGGGCTCGGGAAAGGGCGAGAGAGATCGGCAGGGGCCGCTCACGCGAGGCAGGGCCTGGGCCCGCAGCCAGGGCCGAGAGCGGACACCAGCGCAGGGCACGGAGGGAGCTGTCCGCCCGCGTGGGACACGCCGCTGGGGCCTCTCCTTACCACCGCTCCGCCGCCGGCGCCGCCTTGCATGGGCCCGTTCTGCGCTGTGTCCGCCATGGCCGGCCCGCTCGCCACACGCTCTGCGGGGGAGAGGAAAGGGCATGAGCGAGGGGCCCCGAGCACGCCCCCCCCCCCCGCTCACGTGCGCTGGGCCCGGCTCCTCGGTGGGAGGATCCCCGGGACAGGGGCCTGGCCCCGGGACAGAGGGCACCTACCAGCCTGACCCGACGCCGAAAGCACCCGGCAGGGACGGGGTCGACAACCTGACAGAAGAGGCGGCCCCCACCCGGATGCAGCAACAAGTCAGTTCCGGGCCCGGCCCTGGGGAATGCTGGGTAACGTAGGCAGGGTCCGCGTGTTGCTGTCTGAAGCCGGCGCAGTCGCCTCGCCCAGCCCCCGCGCGGCGCGATCCGTTCGGCCGACCCCGTCAGCCAAGGGTCGTCTGCTGTCCTCGTGACCCCCCCTCCCCCGTCGCGTGGCCACGCTCCTCTCTGCTCCCAGCGATCACCGTGCCTCGCTGACATCATCATATGGATAACCACCTCACATCTCCACCCATGACATCACAATGCTCGCCTAGCTCCAGTGAGCTCACATTGTTGGCCTCAGTGCTATCTGCTAACATCACAATTCCCTTTCCAAGTGACATCACAATAATTGCCTCATCTCTCAAATGATACCACATCAATCTCCTCCCCTGCACCCGGCTAACATATCAGTCACCTCACCACTTTCTCCGTGACATCACATCAGTCACCTCATCTCCTATCCCTTTTAACTTCACATCAGTTGCCTCTCCTTCCCCCATGAGATCACAGGGATTGCCCTGCCCCAATGATATCAAAGCAATCAGCTCCATCTTATATCACATCAATCATCTCTCATCAATGTGGTAACATCACATCACCTCATGGGGCAAGGTACCATCTTGCACTGATCTGGTGACAGAGTAATATCATCTAAGCCCACATCAGCACTCATGCAACCAATCATAGAAGGCTGGCATGTAACCTCATGCTGATGATGCAATGCTCACATTATACCATCTCACACCAAAGCAGTGTAATGGTAATGTAGAACATAATCATGACAGCACTTTGCGTATGCCAACTTGGCATGGTGACATTAATGCATCATTTCATGACAATGTGATGCAGTGACAATACCTCATAGATGTAATGCTTTGGAAACATGAATATGCAGAGTCTATTGCATCAACGTTATAATCATATCTGTATCTTTATGAGCTGTAATTATACTACTCCTGACTCAATGAGTGAGTTAAAAGATGTTTCCTGCAGGAACAAAAGTCACTGGGAGATATTTAATGTAAATCCCTAATGCAGGTTACAAATGCACAGAATTTTCTATACCGTGGGAAATAGCATATATTGAATTAACCAAATTCAAGAGCTATTGCAAACTTTATAAAGAAACAGCCCTGATCTGGGAGGAAAGACAAACACCAGAAGTTGACACACATAAATCTGTGGCCAAGAGAAACAGGACCCATGAAAAGATCCTGAAGTACTTTGTTCTGGATAAATATTGCAGAAAGCTGGCTGGTTACTGGCTAACCCTGTCATTGGCCCTGAGAAAACAGGATTACAGTTGCTGACCCCAACATACTGGCAGCCAGGAGCCATCTCCTGCCTGTCAACTTTGCTTCCTGCTCAAGGCCAGCTCTGGGCAGCAGAAAGGAGAAAGGAGGGACTGAAGCAGGAAGGGGGAGCAGGCTCAGCCAGCTAGCAATGGCATGTCCTGCCCTTGTGCTGGCTGCTTGTAGTGCTGCTCTTCTACTGCTGAGAATGCTGGAGGACTTCTAAGACCTGAGACAAGGCAAGGCCATGTGCACAAAGGAAAGCCATAGGGCTCAAATTAAGTCCCAGCTTAACACAGGCTCAGACCCTCTACCCTTTAGGTCCTGCACCCATAGATCAGAGCCGTAGGTTGGCATATGTTTCCAAGGGGAGTAAGGCCTGGGCCTACATACCTTTTGAAGCCAGATGAAAACAGATCCTTTTACATTTAGTTTACTTTTTTAAAAATGCATATTTTTTTCTGAGAGGAGCATTGCAGACATTGTAGAAACATTTTATAAATCTGTTATTATAATTTTAATAACTCAGGTATCTCAGCATACCACTTATCTTGTAAATTATTCTTGAGTCAGAGACACATTAATATTTCTGTTATCCGAGGGAATGTAAAAAGACTACTGACAACAAGTATAAGAGCCCAGCTCAACCCACTCTGGCTCACAGGGTTTGCACTATGGGACCAAAAATAAAAGTGCAGAAGTTTGGGCTTAGATTGAAACCTGAGCTCAGACACCTTCTCCCACTAGCTGGGTTTAAGATTCTGGACTCTGGCCCATGCCTGAACAGCTACTCTGCTATTCCTTTCCGTATAGCATGATCTCCAAATCAGTTAACCTGAGGCCTGAGACTTGCTGCCACAAGTCATTTTTTTAAAAGTAACCTTGTTCCCCAAGGTTCCTCTGAGTTGTCTCAGTATGAGCTCTACGTCTAGAATTTCTCCTTGTCCAAGTCAGTCAGACCCCTTTCCTATCCTAATAAACTTCTCAAACACTTTCTTTTGGCTGGAGCATACAGCACATGTAACATCACCCTCTGAAGAACAGAAAGTTCTAAGATACAACACCTTTACCCTTGATTTTCTCTGATCAAGCTCTTTTTCACCTCCACTTTTGTAGTGTTGTTCTTTCCCTCCAATAAGGGAGAGAAAAGGAAATATTTTTTCCAAGGAAGGAACTAATGTCATTCTTTGAGTTAGACACTGATGTGTGCTCAAAGAGTGAAGCTATTGACTCCTTCCAATCGAAACAACTAAGTCACCTCATGATGTGCCAAGTCTCCAAATGACCCAGGAGAAGTACTCCTGAAGCTCTGTATATTTAACGACACACTATGGTTGTACTATTAGGCTAATGGGGGGAAGGGGTTCCTTCTTTCCTGAGTATGTGCTTGACTTCAAGCATGTGAATAGTCAAATTAACTTCAGTTGGAACCTTTGATTATAAATGTTCTAGGGAAAAGACTGTCTCTTGATCTGTGTTGGTACATTGCATAGTATCTGCCTTAGTCACAGCTGGGACCTATGTGCACAATAAAAATGATAGCAATAATTAAAAGAGCAACATGGCTTGAATAATAGTTGATCTACCTAGCTTCATGCACCAAGTATTGATTAGTTACCTCAAAACATTTCATTGGTAACAAGTGTATTACCATCATTCTCATGTTAAAGTACAAAGCAATCATGGAAGTCTAGCAGAAACAAAAGTGAATATCACTAAAATGAATAATGAACACTATTTGTGACAAAAATAGAAGTTAGGAAAAACATGCAGTATTTCTCAGGGTTTTTTCACTGTTATTGACATTAAAATTTTTCTGACATTTACAGTGCTATAATTGCATGATAGTTTGAAAGAATTTTGTGGTATTTCTCAAAGAACAGCAGAGTTTACCAGAAATACTTTTTCCCAAAAAACTGCTAAGAGGACTTTCATGCTTTTTATCTATTCTTTTGAAAATGGAAAGCACATGCCATGTAAGCACGACTTCCTGGGATTCTGAAAGACCAATAAAAGAGGCACATTGATACACAGTGAATAGAAACACAGTTATTGCCTTTTGGATTTCATCTGTTCTGGGTGTTCTTTACATTTGTAAACGGTTTTCATTGAACCTTGCACTTTCCTAGTTATCAGCAATCTTATTTCTTGCCACTGGAATGATCAGTGTGAGTAAAAAAGTTTTTTTCCTATCCCATAATTCATTACATATGTTAAATGTATCATAATATTATAAAACCCTCTGATTTGAAAAAAAAGGTAGAAACTGATGTAAAGTATGTGTATGTTGTGCAGGAATGGAAATGGTTCTTCCATTCCATTGGTTCCTAAAAGTTTTTTTCTGTATGCTGTTAAGTGAGATCACTATGAGTAAAGTTATTAAAAGATATTATCAAAACATATCTATTTTAAAGGAAGACTACATACCACTGCTATACCATTAGGCTAATGGGGGGAAGGAGAGAGAGTGGGGCATTCCTTGTTTCCTGTAAACACTTGTGCATGTGCTTAACTTCAAGCATATGAATAGTCCCATTGACTTCAGTTGGAACCTTATATTATAAATATTCTAGGGAAAAGATTGTCTCTTAATCTGTGTTGATATATTGCCTGACATCTTGCACTAATGAAAACAGCAACATGGCTTGAATAATAGTAGAGCTACCTAGCTTCGTGCACCAATTACTGATTAGTTACTGCAAAACATTTCACTGGTAACAACTTTATGTCCTTCTAGAGTCTTGTATTTTAAAGTTTTATATATATTTATATTGTGTTTTTTTTAACTGGCAAGCTGCCTTGAATATTTTAAATAGAGAGTAGGGTAAAAATATTTTAAATAAATAAATAAAACTTTGATAAAAGCAAGTGAGACAAACACTTGTTGGAGATGGTCTAGAATTTTTGGTGCTTGGTCCTGCCCTCTGAACACTATTAAAAGAAAGATTGGCAGTTCAGGGGTCTATATCTCCTAACCTCTCACCTCTGGAGACCTTGGTTGAAATCTTGTTTTATGATCACAAGTAAAAATCAATTTGCTTCTCTTATAATTGTTCCCTGTAGATGTTTGCCAATCTAAAAAAATAAAAGCTGCTACAAAGGGCAGTAGGGCGTTTTCTACCTTACAGAGTGACCTGGGCTAAAATCACAACTAGTCTGTGCTTCAGTTTTTCCAGCTGAAAATAGGGATAAAAAAACCAAATCTTTGTAAAGTGCTAGAAGAGTCTCAGACTGAAGAGACTGAGGGCAAAGATCTTGCTTCTGTTCTGGTTCTTCGTGCTGTTCTGACAATGGAAAGGGTCAGTAGAGCCAACTTAATCAGAATAGTAGGTATAATGTCAGATACGTGGTAGAACTGAAGTAGTGACTCCACTCTGCATAGAACCATAGAGAGTGTGAGATAAGGAAGCCTCTGTGTCCTATCTATTCCAGGCTACCCAAGGTTGTGGGCTACTGAACACATAGGCTGTTAAGCTGCCTTTGGCCTGTTCTTATTAATGCTTGAGTCGAACCTGGCTCTTGACCAGCACTAGGAGTATAGAGTAGCAAAGGTGGGATAAAGCAATTGTTCTGACTTCCACACTTCAAGGCTTGGCCTATCCAACAATAGGACTCTATACAAATGCTTATTTATTATCCATTATTTGTATTTGTAATGTTGTTGTAGCCATGTTGGTTCCAGTATATTAGACACACAAGGTGGGCGAGGAAATATTTTTTATTGGATCAACTTCTGTGGGTGAAAGACACAAGGCTTTTAGCTACACAGAGCTCTTCTTCAAGACCTCCGCTCCAGATCCTGCCTCTCCCCACCACTGCTCTGCTCCTTCACACCCTTGCTCTGCCCCCACCCTGCCTCTTCCCCCCTCACCAAACACTAGCAGGGCTG